AAGCTCTATAGGCAAAAACTGACTAAAACTTCAGTATCTCAGCAACAAAGCACCATGGGGAGAGGTTCCCTCGTGAGGCAAATTTTTGAACAGATTTCTTTATGTGTAAAACTCAGTGATTTGCTTGCTGAGAATGTTATTATTTTGCATGTTTGTATGTGCCAAATAGTATTTCTATGTGTCTGAAACTCTCCGGTTAATGAATAGCCAATGTCAGTTCGTAACAATGGTTTGCTCTTCTACTGTAGTTTGCTGTTTATCGATAAAACTTATTGTCTTTCTCTTCTTCTACTAGCTAAGAATAAGCGGCTATCGCATGGATAAACGACTATCGCCTATGCATTAGAGCAAACTACAAACTATATAAACAATAATCGCCTATCACTAAGGAAATATATACGATAGACGACAGAAAATAACAAACCTATAATAACGCGTCACTTTCAGAATGGAACGAAAAAGACTATCGAAACACTTTCATCTCATCTCTAGCCGAAACACATCTTCGTTCTAGTGTTGGTCCCGATTCGGTTCAGGAAAAAAAAGTTGTAGGTCCCGACCATATCTAAAGTGGACGTCTGCTCCATGAGAGAGAAACAAATGTTTGATATAAGACTGTTATATGTGATAGATTAAACATGTAGAATATCTTAAAAGGTTAAATATTATGATCATATAGACGAACCCAGGTTGTTTTGAAAATGACCCATTGTTGCAGGTTGCAGCCTGTGTGAGACACTGGTTCCTAGAGGCAATACTAATTCATTAAGCACCATGAAACTGGGGGCAGAAGATGAGAAATTATATCCGTTCAAGACTTGCAGTATCAAAAAAGTTCCAGGTATGTTCTACGAGCCGTGTCGAGTCAGCCTTGCTGCTAAATTCGCGTTAACGTTAATTTAAAGTCGAATTCGAACTTCTGAACGATCTCGGACTCGAACCGTACGAAGCCGAACTTCGAACGTAGGTTCGGGTTCGTAACATCCCTAACTTCAACTAGTTCTTGTTGTTGTTGTTGAAATGGCATGTCATTCACTGTAATTTTATGATGATTTCTATTTTCTAGTTCACATAAACTCTGTTTGAAATCAGATGACGATAGAATTAGTTTACGATTACGTGGTACATTAAATGTCGTCGTAGGTGTACTTCTCGGTGAAAAATGTGCAGCCTCTTCTTCATCATTATCTTCATTGTATGTGGTTTCTTCTTTACTTGAAGTTATTGTTGATGTAGGCGAACGTCGCTGACTATTGTCAATCCAATTATGTACATTCGCATTAGCAATTATCCTTTTCCGGATATTCTCGACGAATGCTCTCTAACT